GTCCCTCGGCCTGGTGTCGGGACCAGGACCCCTTGGGCATTGAGCCAGCGCCTGGAATTCTGGGACGGCTTCAGGGGACAGGGAGGCACGGCTCTCCCAATCCAATAAGAACATGCAGCCCCGGCCAGTGTGGCTCAATGGCTAGAGAGCATCAGTCTGTGGGCTGAAGGGTCCCAGGTTCGATTCCAGTCAAGGACACATGCCCGGGTTGCAGGTTCTCCGGCCCTGGTCGGGGCGCATGCAGGAGGCAACCCATCGATGTGTCTCTCTCACATCGATGTTTCTCTCCGTCTCTCCCTCTCCCTTCCACTCTCTCTACAAATCAATGGGAAAAATATCCTCAGGGGAGGATTCACTAAAAATAAAAATAAATAAAAGGAGAGAACGGAGGTACCGAGAGGTGGAGGGGCTTGCTCATGGGCACACAGCCCTGGAGAGAGAGGCTGACGTGTGAACCCAGGCCTCCGCGTCCGCCCGTCATTCCTGTCGGGGATGGTGCACTTTCAAGGCGTGAGGGCTGAGACAATTTCGTGGGAGGCAAAACCAGCAACATCATTCAATGTCTGCCCGGCCGGCGTGGCCCAGTGGTTGAGCGTCGACCTAGGAACCAGGCAGTCACAGGTTCGATTCCCGCTCAGGGCACAGGCCCGGGTTGCGGGCTCCATCCCCAGTGTGGGGGCAGGCAGGAGGCAGCCGATCCGCGATTCTCTCTCATCACGGATGTTTCTCTCTCTCCCTCTCCCTTCCTCTCTGAAATCCATAAAAGCATATTTTATAGAAAGCTGTGACCGGCTGCAACAATTTTGTGGGAGAGAAAATCAGCAGAAGATTTCCGTGTTTGACCAAAGGAGAGGATTGAACGCCGACCTCGCCACCACCAGGGACTGCAGGCGGCGGACCGGGACGTCCTCACGCTGCAACATGAACGACACGTCCTGCACGCGGTGCGATCTACGTGAAAACCGTGTGTCACGAAGGCTGGGCGACGCTTTCAAAGTAGCGGCTTCTGGGAGGCGGGGTTCTAGGATTCTGTATTTCCCCCCAAATTTCTGAAACGCACACTTCACCGGCAACGGAAAAATAGACCCCTCTCTGTTGTCAGTTTTTAAAAATGCAGCCGGGAAGCAGTCCCCGTGCCTCCTATGGGGCTTTTCATGGGGGGCCCCCTCCACCCCCGTTCACAATGGCCCCCTGGAGGGGCTTGGGTTCCGGGGGGACGTCTTCGCTGGGGGCCCCCCAGGGCCAGTGCTCGGGCCGGTTTGCATCTGATGAGCAGAAGGGCCCCCGGAAAGGAGGCCACGGTGGTGTCACGCTGGAGCCCGGGGAGGTGACCGCCCCGTAGTCACCGCGTTCCCCAAACTCACCCCCGGCTGGAACCCCTGGGGCACCCCGAGCATGTCACCCTGACGCGCGGGTGGGAGCAGGCGAGGCCAAGGGGGGCTTTCTCCACCCCCAGGGGAACCCCCTCCCCTCCCGTGTGGACGGGCTGAGCGCCCGGTGCCCGGGGACCCAGCGGCGCCGCCCCACTGGCCGCCCCGCCCCATCAATCATCCAGGTGCTGCTCCTCCCAGGTGGACGTGGGGATGGCGCTGTACGGGTCCATGATGACCTTGGCGCAGCGGATGATCATGACCACCAGGAAGAGGCAGAGGAAGACGAAGCAGGCCAGGGTCAGTCCTTTGTCCACGTCCACGTAGACGGGCTCGGGCGTGGGCTCCTCCATCGCGGGCTGGCGGCCACAATGCAGGGCGTCCCGGAAGTGCACGCACACACTGAGTGACTATAAATATATTTTATTGATTTTTTACAGAGAGGAAGGGAGAGGGATAGAGAGTTAGAAACATCGATGAGAGAGAAACATCGATCAGCTGCCTCCTGCACACCCCCCACTGGGGATGTGCCCGCAACCGAGGTACATGCCCTTGACCGGAATCGAACCCGGGACCCTTCAGTCCACAGGCCAATGCTCTATCCACTGAGCCAAACCGGTTAGGGCTCATCATTTCATTATTATTTTTTAAATATTTAAGTGGTTTTATTGATTCAGAGAGAGGAAGGGAGAAGGAGAGATAGAAACATCCATGATGAGAGAGAATCATGGATCAGCTGCCTCCTGCACGCCCCACACTGGGGATGGAGCCCGCAACCCGGGCACGTGTCCTGACCGGGAATTGAACGGTGACCTCCTGGTTCATGGGTTGAGGCTCACTGAGCCACACCTGCTGGGCAGTTATTATTTAACTAGAGGCCCGGTGCACAAAATTCATGCACTCGGGGGGCAAGGGCCCTCAGCCCAGCCTGCACCCTTTCGCAGTCCGGGAGCCCTCAGGGGATGTCCAACTGCCTCAGAGGCGGGAAAGGCTCCCGCCACCGCTGCTGCCCTCACCAGCCGTGAGCCAGCTCAGGGCTTCTGGCTGAGCGGTGCTCCCCTTGTGAGAGCGCACTGACCACCAGGGGGCAGCTCCTGTGCTGCGCGTCTGCCCCCTGGTGGTCAGTGTGTGTCATAGCGACCGGTCGTTCCACCATGCAGTCGATTTGCATATTAGCCTTTTATTATATAGGATAGGAAAAGAGTGAAAGAAAGATTGAATAGTATAGCTTTGTCCATTTAACGTTCTCCAAGCCTGTTTTTTGTTGGTTGATGGGGGAAGGCCCTGGTGAAGAGACGCATGTCCAGTAAGGTCTGAGAAGTATGGGAAGGTGCCTACCTGTCTGTCAGTCACCCCTGGAAACAAATTAGTGGCCAAATAGGCTGTGGCCAATACTCAGGGCGGGAAACCTGAGTATTTCAACTTCTGAGTGAAGGAGGGTGCATTCGGCTCTTGGCCCTTGGCCTTTGACCCTCTGGCCCTCTGGGGACGCCTGTCGCAGGGGTCACGTTCCCCTGCACTCACGTGGCCTTGAGGGACCCACACCGTGGACTAACGTACATTATTTTAGAATATTTATTTATTTTAATTAGCCAATTTAAATTAGTCTGAAATAAGGTTTATTATTATTATTATTTTTAACTTTACTTGTCCTAGGTTAAAGACAATAAAAGATGTTAATTAAATTTTTGCAATTAGTTTTTGAGTAATTTTATATTAGCTATATTTAGGGAGGCAAAAGCAAATTATTTATCTTTTTATATTAGACCTAATATATTGATTTTTAATTATAGTCTTTTAGATGTTCAAAGGAAACTTTTTTTAAAATTTCCTTCCAGGATAATTTTCAGGCCATAGTTATAGAGTTTCAATTAAAGAAAAAAAAAAATCTTTGTCTTTTTTTTTACATCTAGCAACCTACAGGGTTGCTTTTTTTTTTTTTTTGGACTAACGTACATTTTAATTAGTCTGAATACTGAACTGGACCCAGCTGCAACATGGAACAGAAGTTCTGGACCCTGGTCCTCCTGTGGGCAGGGAGGGTCGTGCCCACTGGCCTGAGTCAGGGGCAGGGCACCCACTCCCCTTCTCATCTGCCTCGGCCCCCTGGAGTGACAGCCTGCTGCTCCCCCTGCCCCCTGGGAGCCAAGTGCGAAATCCTGGCGCACGTGAGGTGCCATCAATTATGTCAGCCTCACGACAGCCCTGGACGCAGGTCAGCCAGGCATCACTCTGGCCGTCTTATAACTGTGGAAACAGGCCCAGGAAGGGGAAATGAGTCACCCCAAGCCCACCTCCCGAGCCACGGCCTCTGCAGGCCCCGCCCTCCTCTGGTGGAAGCAGTGGATCCGGCTCCCCCACCCGCTCCGAAGCATCGGGAGGACACCTGGGGGCCGGCTTCTGCTTGGCAACCTGGCCTACCTGTAACCACAGGGGACCATGCTGTCCCCTCGCCCACACCTTGTCTTCCTCCTCACCTGTCCCCGGAGGGCACTAACCTGCTGGTTGGACTGGTCACTCAATTGGAGGACTCAGCAAAATCAATGGGATGACTCAGCAAAAATCAACCAGATGACTCAGCAAAATCAATGGGATGACTCAGCAAAAATCAATTGCATGACTCAGCAAAATCAATCAGATGACTCAGCAAAAATCAATGGGATGACTCAGCAAAATCAATTGCATGACTCAGCAAAAATCAATTGGATAACTCAAGACAGAAGCGAGAGTGCAGAGAAAAGAGAATCCACAGAGAAGGAAGAGATTCGAGTAAATAGATTCAGGAGAGAAGCAGGAGATGAGAGAAAACGGAGTCACCTCTTCATAAGGGCCACGGGGTGGGCTGGCACCCTGGGCGTGGCTGCTGCAGGAGGGAGGGGCAGTGGCTGGGCATCGCAGCTGGGAGCCGCTGAGAGCAGTGACCGGTCCCTCGGAGAGCAGGCGCCGGGGCCGGCGTGGCTGAAACAGAGCAGGGCACAGGGTCAGTTCTGGCCTGGGCTTTATTCTAATGTTGATTGCTCTCTGTTAAAAATGATAATTTAAAAAAAAATTCTGACAACACATGAATAACCATATTCACCATCCTAACCATGGCTAGGTGTGCCGGTTAGTGGGTTAAGTACACCCATATGTTGCACAGCCACCCCCCCCCCAATCATTCCCCCCCGCATCTGCCTCTAGAACTCCCTTCATTGTGCAAAGGGAACTTCAGGATTGTTCAGATGCATGTGCTGGGGAGGGAGGGAAGGAGGAAGGTGCCTTCCTCACTACAGTCAAAGATCTGCTGCTGTGATTGTTTGAGAAATTTACGACGTAGAAAAGTGTCCGGCTCGGGTGGCTCAGTGGTTGAGAATCGAACTATGAACCAGGCGATTGCGGTTCGATTCCCGGTCAAGGGCACATGTCCGGGTTGCGGACTCGATCCCCAGGAGGGGGCGTGCAGGAGGCAGCCAATCCATGATTCTCTCTCATCATGGATGTTTCTCTCTCTCTCTCTCCCTTCCTCTCTGAAATCAATACAGATATATTTTTTAAAAAGCAGTGGAAAAATATCCTCAGATGAGGATTAAAAAAAGAAGCTCAGCCCTGACCGGTGTGGCTCAGTGGATAGAGCGCCGGCCTGAGGACTGAAGGGTCCCAGGTTCGATTCCAGTCAAGGGCATGTACCTGGGTTGCGGGCACATCCCCAGTAGGGAGTGTGCAGGAGGCAGCTGATGGATGTTTCTCTCTCAGTGATGTTTCTAGCTCTCTATCCCTCTCCCTTCCTCTCTGTAAAGAAATCAATAAAATATTTAAAGGAAAAAAAAAAAAAAAGCTCAGAGCAATGGCACAGCCGACTTGGAGCAAACCTGCGTTCCTGAGCCCACCCGGGCCTGCGCCTGGGCCCCAGGATGTGTACTCCTCGGGGTCCTCAGGGCGCTGGGGGAGGATGGAGGGGCTAGAGTTCCACGCCCCTCAGCCTCACAGCAGGACCCTGAATTCTGAGGTCCCCCCTCCCCAGTCCAGGGGGTGGGTCCAGCTCACAGGGGAGCCCCACGGGATTGTAGGGGTCAGACACAGAGAGACCGCCTGGCGACCCTCCCCCAAATGTCGTGGCGCCCGGGTCGGTCCCGTAACCTGAAGGCGGACCCAGAGGAAGTCAGCATCTTCTAGATCAGCGGTTCTCAGCCTGTGGGTCGCGACCCCTTTGGCGGTCGAACGACCCTTTCACAGGGGTCGCCTAAGACCATCCTGCATATCAGATATTTACATGGCGATTCATCACAGGAGCAACATGACAGTGATGAGGTAGCAACGAAAATAATGTTATGGTCGGGTCCCAACATGAGGAGCTGTATTAAAGGGCCAGAAGGTTGAGAACCACTGTTCTAGATCTTTCCATCTGGGGCGAGTGCCAGGAATGGGAACGCGGAGAGCAACAGATTCGCCTTCTCCCCGCCTCCCAGATGGAGCTGCCCACCAGCCTGAACCACCCGCGGGCACAGCCCCAGCCAGCTCCCTGGGGAAGGGAGGGCATGGTGCCCAGGGGGACACAGCGCTGAACTCGGCGGCTGCTCCTTCCCTGGGGGGTGGGGGGGACCCTCCCAGCAGCCTGCCCCCTGGTCCCCAACATGACTGCTTCGACCTTCAGCCCCGAGGCTGCACTAGCCACGCGGCCCATCGCCAGCTTTCCGGGGCGCTGGATGCAAACTTTTTTTTTTTAAATTTATTTCATTGATTTTTTACAGAGAGGAATGGAGAGGGATAGAGAGACAGAAACATCGATGAGAGAGAAACATCGATCAGCTGCCTCCTGCACGCCCCCCACTGGGGATGTGCCCGCAACCAAGGTACATGCCCTTG